TGTCACAATACAGTTTTGAAGATCTTAAATAACCTTTCCCCTCCACAAAATATCACACTGGTCTATTGCATTGATACCATTATGCTGATTGAACCTAGTGAGCAAGAGGTAGAAATTCAGGATTCTTCTACCTCAATAAAATTTATAGAGGGCCCTACTGGTATGGGGCATGTCAAGAAAGCTCTTGTGTGGGCTGGGATGGGAGTAAAAGACAGGAAACTGTACTTGAACAACAATTAAAATAAAATTTTTTTAAAAAAAGAAAGCTTTTGTAAAGTGGAAGATAAGTTTTTGATTCTGGCCCCCTCCTATAATAATAAAATAAAGATATAATACCTAAGGACCTTTTTGAATTGTCAAAGCAACCTATTCTTCATTTGGGTGTGTTATCCCAGCCCATTTACTAAGTTCCCTGAAAGGCTCATTTTGAGTGGGATCGGAACAAAACAAGGCTGTACAACAGGACTAGGCTGCTGTGCAAGCTGCTCTGCCACTTGGGTCATATTATCCAGCAGATCCAATGGTGCTTGAAGTGTCAGTAGCAGATGGGGATGCTGTGTGGAGTCTTTGGTAGGCCCCACAGGGAAAACACAGCATGGGGCCTTCGGATTTTGGAGCAGGCTCTGCTATCCTCCACAAATAATGACTCTCCTTTGAGAACAACTTCTTGTCCTGCTACTGAGCCTTAATGCTTAACCATGGACCACCAAGTTAATATTTGACATGAACTTCCCATCAAGAACTGAGTGTTACCTGATCCACCAAGGCATAAAGTTGGACATACATGGGAGTACTTTATCATCATAGGACATATCCTGAAGGTATAAGTAAGTTATATGAAAAAGCAGCCCAGATACCCATGGGCCATCCTCTTGCTATACTGCCCTCTCCTCCCAGCCTGTACCTGTGGTTTCATGGAGAGTTCCCTGTAATCAGCTAATAGAGTAACAGAATACTCAGACCGATTTATACAATAGATGGTTCTGCAGGATATGCAGGCACCACCTGTTGCACAATTACAGTGCAACAGCCTCTTTCTGGGACATTTTGAAGGAAAGTAGTGAAGGGAAATCCTCCTGGTGGGCAGAACTTCAAGCATTGTACCTGGTTGCTCACTTTGGTTGAAAAGAGAAATGACCAGAAATGAAATTATATATCCTGATTCATGGGCTATGGCCAATGATTTGGCTGGATAGTCAGGAATTTGGAAGGAACATGATTAGAAAACTAGTGACAAGGAAATGGGAAAAAGAAAAAAACCAAACATGAAGATATTTTTGTCCCAGGCTAATGTTTACCAAAAGGTGACCTCACAGGAGAGGATTTTAATAACCAAGTGAATAAGATGATTCATTCTGTGGGTATCAGTCAGCCTCTTTTCCCAGCCACTCTTCCTGATGCCCAATGGACTCATAAACAAAGTAGCCATGGCAGCAAGGAGGAAGGGTTTGCATGGGCTCAGCAATATGGATTTCCATTCATCAAGACTGACCTGGCTACAGCCACTTCTGATTGCCCAATCTGCCAGCAGCAGAGACCAACTCTGAGTCCCTGATTTAGCACCATTCCCTAGGGTGATGAGCCAGCCACCTGGTGACAGCTTGATTACATTGGACAGCTTTCATAACAGAAGGGGCAGTGTTTTGTCCTTACTGGAATAGATACTTACTCTGGATGTGGATTTGCCTTCACTGGATGCAGTGCTTTTGCCAAAACTATCATCTATGGACTTACAGAATGCCTTATCCATACTCATGGTATTCATACCATGTTCATTATGATTGAGGAACTCACCTCACAGCAATAGAAGTGCAACAATAGGCCCATGCTCATGTGATTCTTACCATGCCCCCCACCATCCTATAACAACTATCCTGATGAATGGTGGAATAACCATTTGAAGACTCATTTACAGCACCAGCTAGATGAAAATATCTTGTAGGGCTAAGGCAATGTTCTCCAGCAGGCTGTATATGCTCTGAATCAGGATCCAATATATGGTGCTATTTCTCAGTTACCTAGGATGCATGGATTTAAAAATTGGGAGTGGAAATGAGAGTAGCACCACTCACTATTACCCTTAGTTACCCACCAGTAACACTTCTGCTTCCTGTTCCCATTACTTCTGCTCTGCTGGCCTTGAGCTATTAGTTCCAAAGGCAGGGATGCTTCCTTCAAGAGAACTGGAAGTTAAGATCATTGCCTAGCTACTTTGCACTCCTCATGCCTCTAAATCAACAGGTAAAGGAGCGATTTGCTGCACTGGCTAGGGTGATTGATCCTGACTATAAGGGGAAAGTTGGACCCCTTAAACCTGAAGAGTTTAGTGTCTGATGAATAAGCAACCTGCTCTAGAATGTTCTTCCCTCAATCTTTACATGGCTGGCTTCTTATTTATGGACTCAGCTCAAATGTGACCTCTTCAGGAAGTCTTCCATGACCACCTGTGTAAAGTAACGCATTATTTCTACAAGTGCAATCACTCTATTTTATTTATTCCTATTTCCTTCTTGGCATTTCACATGCTCTAACATTATTTTTTATTTCCTTATTTATTCTATCCCCCACTCCATGAAGCCCTTTGTCTTATTTCTTCAGTACCGAGAACAGTGCCTGGTATATAGATGTTCCAAAAATACTTTTGAACAACATAAGAACTGATGGCATCCAAGGAAATTAGGCAAGAAGGAACCATGTGCCAAAGTTCAAGTGTGAGCCAAAAGATTACTGGAGAAGGATTCATTTTGCTACAAGGAAGATCTCAAAAGTATATTTCTAGATCTGACAAGAACACTCTAAAATATTCCATAGTAATTATATTCTCTGTCTCAAAGTAATAAAGATAGTGTACAAATTCAGAAGGGGAATCTTTAAGCCTAGTATTTTCATTTAATTATGGAGACAAAATGAACATATGGACTTTATTTTTTAGAGAAATAGCACTAGAAGTGCCCCGTATTGGCCCCAGGATAGTCCCTTTTTAAAAGAGGCGAAATGTACTTTGGTATGAGTGGTTCGAAAAAGACTTGCTCTCATTGTAAGGACTGTGAGGACACACGCGAGGTCCGATGGCTGTCACCCAGCAAATCTCCTGGCAGTGAGGATGGGAGGCAGGGGGATTTGAGGAACTATGTAGATGCTTTGGAATCCGTATCACAGAAGTGATGTCAGGCCACACCCAGCACCTAACTGCCACCATCTGAGGTAACTTTCAGGAGGCAAGTGACAAACCACAACACTGTAACTTCTCACCCATTTGACTAAACAATCCCAATCTTGTGTTTATTTGGACCAGAGGCATAGAGCGGGCCTGTCTGTTCCCCATTACTAACTCACTTAACTGTACTTAGAAACTATTTGGGAATGGGAAACATGGCCCATATCACATCAGTCACAGATAAACACATACACAAAACACACACATACCCTTAGTTTATAAATAATAGGCCCTCCGAGAACCCACATGACATCCCAAGTGCTGGATGGTACTTCTGAAAGTTCTGAGAGAGTTGAAAATCGCACACAGGCAAGCAAGTCCCTGCTGAATACACATCTAAGGAGTTGTGCATGCATTGTTTATTCCAGCGACTTTATGGAAGAAATTACACACAACAAATTAGTTTCAGATGGTAGGATATGAATAGCTCATGTGCAGTATAAAGGAAAATGAACTCCCACTTTTGACCCAACTACTTCCCATCTCAAGCATCTCAGAATCAGAAGCCAGATGCAATTCATTTTTGAAAACGCAAAGAAGATCAGAAAGTTAGTAAGTGGTGAAGATTAGAGATTTCAAAAAGCAATTTGTCAGTATTATTAACTCATTATATGGTCCTATGATTTTTGGTGTTTGTTGTATGTAAAATCATGGCTAAAATGGAACTCATCTTCCTCCTTCCCTTCATTTTACAACAGTAAAAAATAAACCTCTTCCTGATACTTCCTCCCTGTATAGAAATTCTATAATAGATTGAAACCAACATACATTTTAAAACCTCATGGCATACTGCTGTGGGACAATCATTTATATTCTTGGAAGAGACATAACGTCTTATTTTACCCAACCAACCTTTTATTTTTGATTAATGCAGTAAAACTGACTTCTTTTGGTATATAGTTCTTGAATTTTACTACATGTATAGAGTCATAGAACTGCCACTACAATTAGGACACAGAATAATTCTATCACCACCCCCCATCCAAATACTCTGATGCTATTACTTTAACCCCTGTGAAACCCCTGGTCTATTCTCTGTCACTGTGGTTTCATCTTTTCAAGAATGTCATATAACCTTTGCAAATGCCTTTAAGATTCATCCAAATTGTTACTTAATAGTTTGTTCCTTTTCCCTGCCCATTAGTATTCCGTTGTATGTGTGTTTCACAGTTTGTTTATCCACTTACCCACAGAAGGATACTGGAGTTGTTTCCAGTTTGAGGCAATTGTGAACAGAGCTGCTATAAACAGTTGTGTACAAGTTTGTTGTGAACACAAGCTTTCATTTCTCTAGGAGTGGGATGACTGGGTCACATGGTAAATGTATGTTTAACTTCATAATAAATTTCCAAGCCTTTTCCAGAGTGGCCATATAAAATGTCTTTCACATAAGTAAAATAATAAACTATTAAAAGTGATCCCCAATAACTTGTTCACTTGTGTTTAGGTGACTCCAAAATGTTATTCACCAGGATAAAATATTGTCCCTAAAATAATCAGAAACATTTGACTTCTTCCTTTTTTCTTTTTAATTTTAAAGCTTCAATCAAGTATTCAGTATTTTAACATGATATTTAAAACAAAATTAGACATTTGGACATTATAAAAATGTGAAGCCTGATGAATCTACTTATACAGACATTTTAATGAGAGAGGGAGAACCAGGGGAAAGTTTTCATCACAACTAAGTTTAAGCCATTTAACCCAGTGTTATATGCATCAGGTCCAATTTTCAATTCATAAATAAGCCTCTGCTCCTTTCCTCCAAAAACTTCCACCCCAGGCTAATTACAGAAGAAGAAATCAGAACATGAGAACCAGCCAAAAAAGATTCACAGTTGCCACTCTTTAGTTGCTACTTTAATGGGAAACACATGTGCAAGATACCACCCAGGAGACAGCTGACCAGTGTGCTCTGCAAGAAGGAACATCACCAGAAAATGATGAGATGTGCAACCACAGGAGATGGCGTATTCTCTTGGACAGGCTGAACCCAGAATGAAGGGTGATGGAATTTTTGTTCTTATACAAATATGTGCTGGGACAAAGATGAAATGCTTGGACAGAAATTAATCTATAGCAACAAAGTTAAAAGACAGTGACGAGAATTGGTCCTTACTACTTATCATCTCAGCCACATGCTCTGCAACCAGTTTACCATCAGATTTGGGAAGTTCTTAGCAAAGTTACCATGAGTAAAAATCCTGCAAAGGAATTGGTAAAAAAGGGCACAGTAATGAATGTAATTATTAAGTAATAATGCTAATACTCATTAGTTACTTCCAACTAGAAGTAACCAGCACTGTTCCAAGAGCTATACACGCAACATCTCATTATATCCCTAATTTACAGGGTAGGGATTACCTCTACTGTACTAGCTCAAACTGCCATAGCAAAATACATATACTAGTGACTTAAACAATGGGAATTGAATTCTCAGAGTTCTGGAGAAGAACAAGATCAAGATACCAGACAATTAGGTTCTTTGTGAGAGTTCTCTTCCTAGCTTGCAGATGGCCACCTTCTCGCTGTGTCCTCAAGGGAGAGAGAAGAGAGGGGAAGGGAAGGGAAGGGAAGGGAAGGGAAGGGAAGGGAAGGGAAGGGAAAGGAAGGGAAGGGAAGGGAAGGGAAGGGAAGGGAAGGGAAGGGAAGGGAAGGGAAGGGAAAGGAAGGGAAGGGAAGGGAAGGGAAGGGAAGGGAAGGGAAGGGAAGGGAAGGGAAGGGAAAGAAAAGGAGAGAAAACTATTTGATCTCTTCTTACAAGACTAATCACATCATGAGGCTATCAACCTCAAAACATTATAAAACCTAATTAGCTTCTAAAGGCCCCACCTCTCATCTCCAAATACCATTACATTGGAGGTTAGGGCTTCAACTTACGAATTTGGGAGAAACAATTCAGACCATAGCTTCCATTTTTCAAAATTTTTTTCAAACTATAAGAGAAAGTTTAGTTAGAGAATTACAGAGGTAGAAGAAGTGAGCTGTAGAAGGAATGCACTCAGAAAACAAGTTACAGAGGCAAAAAAAGGGGCTCTTGGAGCTTAGGAGAAAGAGATGCAAGGAAAGGCACCTGGCGGGAAGGGTGGGGAAACCCATGGGCATGCTCCATAGAGAGGGTTGCCAACAACCACTTTACAAATAATGTTTCAAGAGGGTACAGAATTTACAATGGATCATTTAATCAGCAATCAGCACAGCTTGAACTTGAATGCAGGGCTATCTAACTCTAAAGAATAATATCTACTATTTATTGACTGCCCAATACGGTCTGGGCATATCTACACAATATTGTTAGTCCTCATAGAAAATCTTCCAAGTCGATATTCTTTATGGACACTCTGGCCCAACTTTGGAATCATCTGAACCTAATTTATTGCACACAATGTATCCTAGAGGTTCTGAAAGTATGGTCCTCGGATCAGCAGCATCATCATCTTCAGTTGGAAACCTGTTTGAAATTCCAATTCTTGGGCTAAACAACAGATCTACTGAATCAGAAACTCTGGCAGAGAACTGTGGGATCCATAAATTTATCAGAATAATTAATATATTCAAAACTCAATAATAAGTAGTATACCCAAGAATCAACTACAGGTCTTTTGGTGCCACAGCCTGTGCCCTTTTGCTATACTGTACTGTCCTGACCCAACTTCACCAGGGGAAGATCTTGGGGATGGAACTTCTTTTAAATGAAGTGTGATTGTTGAACAATTCTGAGTTCTGCTTTGCCACTAGAATGCTTATCATTTCTCCGGCCTACAGTAATGTGGTACAGAGAAATACCTGCAGGACAGTCCCCGAGAATTGACAATGGTACTTTGCACTGACCAAAAAATACCTTGTGGTATGAACTGATTTTTTTTATTTGGGCCTAACAATTATGTATCCCACTTAGTGAAAATGAGAAATGACCTAGAATATGGAAACAGTAAGTATGGAACAAAGTTGCTTCTTTAAAAGAGCAAATCTACTTAATCACTGCTTTATCTACATATGTAGTTGCTGTATAGTTACACAATTTTTCCCCTCAAAGAAAAAGTACAATAATACATGCCATTTTGGAAGTCTGGGTAATTTAAAGAAAGTATAGAAGTCTTCCTATAATAGAAGTATATTTGTTTGGGAGAGTGATGAAGATTCCTGATCTCATACCAAGAACTTCTAAAAATAATTTACAAAGTCAAAGCACTTTGGAAGTTAAAAGTGATTTGACTCTGTAAAATTGCATCATTTGCAATGCAAATGTGATCACCTGCTCTTGAAAAATATCACCATCACCTCTAAAACATTTTTTTAATATTAACTACTAAGAACATGTGTTAGCCACTGCGCTAAGACTTTTATATGTGGTAAAACTCTTTTAATCATCACAAATATGTAAGGTAGGTCCGGTGATTATTTCCATTTCACAGATAAAAAAATTGAGACTCAGGTTAAGTAACAGATCCTGACAGATCCTCAGTCAGGAAGTATAGGACTCCAAGATTAAACCTCTTAAAGAGCACTAGCTAAACTTTCATTCAGATAGAGACGCTTGGCTCTGGATGTATGGGCTCAGTGTTGCTCTGTACCTGGATTAGTTCCAAGGGTCCCTCTGGGAGCCTGCCCGACCTTCAGGTGGGACAGTGCAGCCTACATAGCATTGCCCTCCATCTGGATAGAACAAAGAAGGGCAGCGGAGTGATGACGCAAAGGACCTGATAGGACTCTCGGTCTAGCGGGAGACGCAGATCAAGGTGACAGAGACAGAGTGGGAACTGTGGTTCTATTGCTTGTTGATTTTCACTTGATTTTTGAAAACAGACCTTTTAATCATTTATTTTGTGGCTTTGTTAATTCCAGTGACTCCTCACACATTTAAGTCAATGAGGCAAGGATTAGCATGACCTCTGGATGTTCAAACTTCTCATATGGAAGAGGAATTTAAAAGCCTTTGAAAACATCATAAGCCAGCAGAATGATTTTCATATTTTTCTGCCTCAGAGTTGTAGATGGATGTGACTTAAGCCCCAATTAGGAAAGACTTTGTGTGATTTATAATAGCAGTTACTCTTTCAAGTAAAGTTCTCATACTCTTTTATCCTATCTACCAAAAACAAACAACTGTTGAAAACAGATCTAACAAACAGAACATGTTGAGGTGAAAAGGCTTTTTCCAAGGAAATGGTTGTGTGTGATTTTTTTATGCTGTCCTGATCTGGGAAGTTCATCTGAGCCCGAGATCATTTCGTGCAGCTGACAGGAAGTTTGCCCAATAGCTTTTGCCTTTCCCACCCCCCACACTCCTCTCTACAGGCAGATTTCCCACTCTCATTCTTTTCTCCCTTCCTTTTCCTTCCCTTCACACATGCCTCCACTCCTCCCATCCCCTTTGATTCTATCTATTGACACCACTGTTAGGAAAGGAGGCAAAATTTTTTAAATAACATCTGTGGGGCTCTTAGTGCAGTATTTAAGAGCTTGGTTAGACTTGTCATCATCACATGCTGTGCCCTGACTCTCCAAAACAATGTAGATTGAGAGTGTCTTATTTTCATTCCCTCTTTCATTCCTTTGTAAGCGTGTGAGCTTGTTGAATATGCTGGGAGCTTCAAACAGAGCAAAGACAGTCCCTGCACTCAGGGAGCTCATGCTTGCTTGGGCAGGGGGGTCGCAGGGGGGTTACAGTGTGTTTATGGGTAACAAAGCTCTCTCTAATTAATCTGGACCCAAGGTGATACATTTAAGGCAATTTTCCTTAAACCGCTTCTTTGAAAGACATCCTGTCAGGCACCCAATTCAAAACAAATCTCCCTGGGTCAAGGATGGTAAGCTTTCTGGTAGAAATGTGGGTTTTGGAATCAGATCCACTTAAGTCCAAATTCCAACTTCGCCTTGGATAAGTTACTAAATCTCATAGTCTCAGCTCTCTTTACTGTAAAATAGAAATGACACCTACCTCGAGAGCCTGGTGAGGAAAACGGAGCACAAAGCACCTGACCTAGCTCCTGGCACACAGGGGATGCTCAACAAATGTGTGTTCCCCGCCTCCCCTCATTGTGCCCCTCTTCTCTTCTCAGGCCTTCCAGGCTTCTTAGCGATAGGACACAAAGGAGACTGTGATAACATTAAACACTTCAATTTCCCCTACTATGTCCCAGGCACTATTTTAAGCACTTTATATATTTAACTCATTTGGTTCTCCTAAAAACACTGTGAGATTAGTACTATTATTATCATCTCCATTTCATAGAGGAGGAAACGAAGGCACAGAGATCCCAAGTAACTTGCCAGGGTCACACAACTAGTACATGGTGGGGCTGTGATTTATACCCAAGTTGTCCAGCTCCAAACCATAGCACTATTAGGACACAGATGGAGAGAGACGAGAGACCACAGCTGGAATCAGAGTGCACAAACTGGCCATCCTCTGCTAGGGAGCTTTGTTTGGTAGGTATGGTGTTTTAAAAATCAAGAGAGTTCACGATGAAACCTATATTTCTGACATTTTCAAAAGAAGTTGGAAAATCCTCACATGGCCAACAAGACGCTGACTGAGTGAGTGTTCTCTAACTTATTGCAGCTGCCATTAGGTAGGGTCTGCTTCACCTCCGACCCACACACACATTTGAGTTTGTGATCCAGAATTAGGCGGTGCTCTACATGTGGTCTTGTCCATAAAGATGTAAGCACTATGTCCAATGGACACCCGATGGTTGAAACATGTAAATGACAAAAGGCCAATGAACAGAGGACAGAGGTCTCAGAAAAGAGCAATCAACAACCAGGCTCAAATTACAACCATTTGTTTTAGCTTGGATAAGCCTTTGAGCCACATGTGTAGGAATTGTAAGCCCTGCTCTCCACATCCTCACACTTCAGCAAAAAGCCAAAAATCCAGGTTTCCTTACAGGTTCTGGGGCTAAGGCCCATTTCCCTTCAATGTTAAAAAAAAAAGCCCTTCATTGTTTGGCATAGCTAAAAGAGTTCATTTAAATTTTCATGTACTGTTTAACCCAAACAACAGCATTGAAACAATTTTTTCTTCTTTTAGCTTTTTAGGATTCGCTGATTGGCATAATCTTGGAAAGCAAACAGGCATTCAGATAGTCCCTGACTTACCATGGTTTGACTTACATTTTTTAAAATTTGTGATGATGCAAAATGCATTCAGCAAAAACCATATTTCAGTTTTCAAATTCTGACCTGTTCCTGGGTTAGTGATGCATGGCACGGTACTCTTTCATGGCATTTGGCAGTGACAGTGGGCAACAGCACCCAGTCAGACACGAGATCACGAGGGCAGACAACCGAGTGTACTGTGTTGTCGATGTTTTTTGGAAATTGTGTCCTGAGCACATGGAAGGTGCTCAGAGCCTAAGCTGTGATGTTTGGTAGGTTAACGATATTTTCAACTTAATGATGTGTTTGATACAAAACCCCATTGTAAGTTGAGGAGCATTTGCATACCCAAACTCTCCT